TGTAGACACAGAACACATTTCTTTCTACACAGAACACTTGTTCAAGCTGACTGAGTAAAGTGCTGCTGTTCGCGATGTTGCCTGCTCAAACGTTGCTTGTAGGCCAAAGGTAAAAACTACTGGTCTAAGGTGCCACAGCTTTTGAATCACTTTGGCAAAACCTGTGTTAGGTGCTTCAGCTATCATATGTTCCTGGACAGGTAAACTGAAAGTCACAAGCCACACAACTAAAAGGTCAGACATGTCTGGAGGGGGTCAGCCCAGGCTGTAGGGCATTTTCAATGCAAGGTCCCAGCATCAAAAAGAGAAACAGTTTCTCACAAAGTAGTGTCCCAGTGACCTGGATAAAAAAGGGGGTGGTGCCACCTCAGATCAGCAGTAGCCTGAGTGGGACCCTAATAGAGCAATTCAGTGAGCTGTAACAGTATGCACACCTTACTGATGAGCTATTTTTAAAAAAAGGGGGCTCTTAAGTGCTGGTAAATTTCAAGCCATCTAGGAGCCTATTCCAAGAGGGGGCAAATAAGTTCAACTTAAACCCAAAATTGTGGTCCTGAAATGCCCATACATCTACCCCTAACACTGGAGGCACCTCAGTTTTACATTAAAGATCCCTGGACACTTCCAAAGCACCCAAGTCTTTTCCCAGTTCTCACACTTCTGTCCCCTGCATGGAAAAGTTCTGTCCTAGAGGAGAACACGGCTCAAGTATATGACTTACACAAAAAAAACCAACAAAAAAAGAAAAGTCATATCAGCAGTTTATTAATGATTGATTGATATTTAAAAATAACCCCTACCCCAAACTGCTTAGAATCCAAGAATGGAAAGTAAAATTGAAAGCACAAATGCAGTATTTTATTCAAAGAGCTAGTCATCATAAGACAGCTCTTTTCACACTTTCCAAAGTGTGAAAGTTCCTATAAAGAAACTTCTCTAAGAATAATGCAAAAATCTATTCAAGGGATAGCTTTTAATGCAGTTCACTACTTGTAACAGATCTGTGAAAGTATTAGTATATATTTTCAGGTCCTCTCAGCAACAGCCTTGTATAGGAAAATAGTTATCAAAGAGCAACAGATGCCATGTTATGGATGTGTGTTATCTGACCACTCTCAGTGCCACAGAACTATTCATGAGTTTACAATACACCAACCTCCTCAAAAGCTGCCTCCTTTTTGCTACTGCTTTTCATGTGCAAAACTCTACAACAGATCAAACCGAAGCCAGATAATCCCAAGTACTACCTAAATCCGTTGCTCTTCCTGAACTTTCAGAGACTACCTGTCAGCCACTTAAATAGAACAGAGCAATTATTTGATATGCTGCTTTTTTTGTAGCTTGGAGTTTACTGTAGATGCTTGTGCCTTATGTTGCTCGTTTTGTAGAAATAAATAAGATGCTGGGAAGTATATGAAATACTGCCAACTTAAATCAACTCTTACTGACTTTTCAAGGCTTATGGTTCATCTTTCAGTATGAAATATTTGGCTTCTAAATATTGTTACAACTTTTGAAAGCTTCTAGCTGAGATGATTTCTGAACATAGTGTACTGCGGCTATGATTTTAAGTACAATATGTTCTGAAGTGTTCCCAGTTTGAAGCTTTCAAAGTTGCTGAATCACTTTTTACCTCTATAATATTTTGCTTTCTAAGCCAACAATCAGTCTTCAAATTACCCTGTAGCTAGAACCAAGCTCCAGGGACTGAATGACAGATGCAACATGTAATCAACATAGGGAACACAGGAATTAACACTCAACTTTGAGATGCTTTGTTGCCTAGTGGAATTTATAACCCAGAGGTTTGCCATATACAATTCCTCAACAGTTTAAACTCCTAAAAAGGATTCCAAGCAGCCATCCAGCAGAGGGCATAACATTTCCTACTGGCTGGCTTAAACAGCTGAAGGAAAGGGATGGGGCCTAACCAGATGTCTATAAGACAGTTGGGCATTTAAATTCTGGGTCAGAGAAACCTCCGTGCATTCCAAGTTCAGTTGGGAACCCTTTCCTGAAGTTAGGTGCTTAAGACAGACTGCGATTTTTTTTTTTTTCCAGCCAAGCAAGCCAGAAGGACATGTCACTACTTTCTTAAAGCAGAGACTCTATTACTTCCTAGCAGAAATTGTCAACTTCTAAGTTTTGGGGTATTCTGGGGTGTCTAACTTTTCCTGTTACAGCAAAGCTGTGACACTTTACATAAAATACCAAATGTTCCTTGGCATAGGGACAGTAAGCAGAATCTCCCTTTCCAGGTAAATGCCTTGGACATGAGGCTGTAGTGATCCCCTTGGCCCCAATTTATCCCTTTGGCCCATAAATTTATATGAAGTGGAACATCTTCAGGAGAGACTGAAAGACCGACCCAGAATCCTGAACAACCTGCTGGTTAAGACTATTCTAGGAATGAGAGCCCGGGTGGGAATCACTTATAAGCTTCAAAACAGACTGCAGCCAGGATTCAAAATTAATCTCTCATCCCAGAAGACTGATTTTTAACTGGTGAGCTGAGAATAAACTGTAAGACTGTGTGAGATTAGACCTGCTCTGCACATATACACCAGACTGGTCTTGTAAGATAGTGAAGCCTGCCAAGGTTCATGAGCCCTAGGCAGCAAGCCAGCAGATCAGAATCAGAGTGGTTGTGCGCAGGTCAAGCAGCAGAAACACAGGTGCAAAAGGATATGAGATCTAACAGGTGGAGTGCACTTTGTTGCGCATTAGCAGAGTAACAAAACTGGTCCTGTTTTGTGAGGAATATACATATATACAGATGCTTGTGCAGCTTGTTTTCTGTCTCATCACAAAGTATAAAACAAAAAGTGTTTAAACGGCTCTCATCTGAGTCAACTTGGTAGTCTTCTAGGACATGATTAATGGTTAATCAGTTGAATTTATATTTTGTATGCAAAGTTTTTGACTAACATGTCCTATCAGGCCTTTTCACCCTCAAGCTACTATATGACTCTTCAGGAATTGTGATCCATGGTCTAGGGAATTCCAAGACCACAATCTAGCAACATACCCAAGGATGTGCCCAACCTTAAATTACATCTTATAGCCTTAAGTTATAACCTGAAAAATAGCTCAGACTTCAGCTGGACTAAACATTTGAACTAAGGCATGTGTAAATACTTTGAACTGGGCCTACATACATGCCCTTCTACAAGCGTTTTGTCAATTCTTTCCCACTTTTGTACCACAGGGAACAGGAACAGCAGCAGGCTGTCAAAGGGCAGTTTAATTCTTCTTTGTCCTGACAGGGGAAACTTCAATTTTTGGAGACACTTGATACATTTAACATAAACAGATTTAACTTTAATCAGGTAAGTGTACCCACATAAGCGCTGAACGTGGTACATCACATAATGGCACTTTACTGTAAGACATGCAGAGGCTATGCAGTTCTTGCCAAATTGCAGATGTAATGAAAGAAACAAGATCATCAGATTTGCTATTAGGGCAACAGGAAAAGTGCTCAGGAAAAATGTAATCTGTTACACTGAAAATAGACATGGCTAGTGCTAAAGAATGAAAATTTCCTTGCCCAATGTCACATGATTTTATGCTACTTCTCAGCTTGGCAGTACAAATGCAATGAAACCGGTCTAAGACTGAGCCTGTAAAAGGCAAAAACCTACTGAATATGAAAAACTAAAGTCCTGGCATGTCTGGGGACTGTTTCCAGCTTATAGACTAGTGTGGAAAGAAAATTTAGGGCCCATTTCAGTTACCTCCTGGAAAATACCAGCTTTTACCTTTCACTCACTTTTGACTATAGAAACATCCTGTATATCCAAGTAACTGCTTATTTGTGTGTGCATGGTGTGAGGGGAGAGCAGAAGGACGCAACAGTAGATAGCAGTGAGCAGAGCAGCAGGGTTGGAAGGCTCCCCACTTCAAGATGAAAAAAGTGTTTAAGCTGGAACCCTTTCCCAGTCCTTTGAGATTTTAGTCTTAGCCTGGCTTCATAATACTTTCTTCACATTCAGAGTTTTGAACTACTTGAGCTTAAGGTAAGAACATAACTGCCATTTACTAGGTCAGAACATAGGTCCATCTTGCCCAGTACCGTGTGTCACAGTCTCCGCTCATGTCTCCAGGTAGAGTTTCAGTGGTCGGTGTCCAAAGGCTCCCTCAACTCCTTCAGGGGCAGTGCGGATGGGCCAGTGTGCTCTGCTCTGTGTCCCCTTCTGAATCTCTTCTTATTAACCTGTGACCTCACTCCTGTTCCCATTTTCTTTTTTGTTGTCCCAAGTAATTAGTTGATGTGGCCTCTCTTATTAAGGGAGGCTCACAGTTCTTGTGATGGGCCACAGTCCATGAGCTTTTGGCACAGATAGGCCTGTCACAGTGACAGACTGGGTGCTAGAAGGGACTGTGAACTGGGTATGACCAGGGTTTCCTTCCCGCTCCCCACCAACCCCAACTGTTCCTCTCCCACTTTTAGCCTCCAGCATTTAAAGTCTAGGAAGTTCTGATTTCAGAGGCTGTATCCCTAGCTCCCGTGCTCGTATCCCTAGCTCGCCTGCTCAATAGCTAGTGATACACCTGCTTCCCCACCCTAAAAAAACCCACAAACTTGACTAATCTCTTTTGAATCTAATTTAACACATCAGCCTCCAAAGCACCTTGAGGCAATGAGTTTCACACTTTAAATTACATGCTGTATGAAAGACATTCCTTTTGTTAGTTTTAAACTTGCTACCTACTAATTTCATTTTATAACCCCTAGTTCTTATGTTGTGAGAGACAGTAAATAAGTTCCTATTTACTTTCTCTTCAACACTGCTTACTACTTTTATAGCAAGTTAATTTAGTTATGAGGTGCTTCAATGATCCAAATTTTTTCTTAAAATTACTCTTTACAATTCTCTAGCTATTAATTAAGAGCGCATTGCTAAAGTTTCTCAATACAGCAGGTAAAACAAATAGCTTATCAGCTGTATGTAAGAAATACTAGATATGCAATTCTTAAATTAGTACAGGAGTGTTACCTTCATAAAGGGCCCCATTTTGCTCTTGTTCTACTGCTTTCAGAAACAGTTCTTTTGCCTGTAAAATAAATTAACACAAAACCAGTGACTTATTACAAGTACCCAGCACTTGCCAGAATTATCAGCTAACATGGCAAGTGTACATAGAATGAAGACTGCCATAACATGTCTGCATGTAACTAATGTGGAGGGATATTCAGATTCTATTAGCTATAGCTGAATTTCCCAGCCAGCCCAGAGCAAGTCTAATTCTGATTTTATTCCAGTTCCAAAATAATTTGATTTAATTTGATTAGGGAATTAAACCCTTCCTATTACACAATCTAACTTTCTAAAGCAGTTGTTCCCCACCTCTATAGACTCAGGATTCCCCTCAGAAAAGGCCAGCTCTTTGCTACCTCTTTTTTTTACTACAGAAAAAATAAGAGAACAATTTTTCTGTTACAAAGAACTCAGAAAGACCACAACGGGTCAATGTTTGACACTATGGGTTCCTATTTAGTTAACATTGAGCAACACTCTTAAAAGGATCTTGTGGCACAGTGGTTGAGAATCACTGTTCTAAAGCTTCATGGCTTTTCAAGAACTGATGGAAAATGTTCCCATTTCACCAAAGCTGGGGACAGGAGTGGGTAAGGGGTGGAGGGATGAAGATTAGGCTATGATAAAATATACCATTTGCTTACTTGCAGTGACATTTTGATTCTCAAGTAATTCAATAGTGTTCTAAAAATACTTGGCAGTTCTGGATGTAGAACAAGGCACCTGTGATAGTTGTGGTTAGCAAAAGGGGAAGACAGCCTGTAGTAGATACAAGTTGAAGTCCACAGTGTTACCTAGAGAAGATTGCCACTTTGCAGGGTCTGTGCTTTAGCTTGCCTGCCATATTAAAGAAACATAAGACCAACAAAAAAACATAGGTGCTGGAACATCAAGAACATCACAGGGACCATACTACTGCAATGTGCTCTTGCAAGTTCTTTGCAAACTGTCGCAAAAGGCTGGAGCAAGAAAGGAAATATGTAAGAAACTCAGGAGACAAGTGAAGAAGTGGACTTTTTTTTTTCCTGCTGTCCCTCCTTCCCCACCTTTCTCTCCTTTTAAGAATGGGAGAGAATATGCTCCAAATAGCTGCTTTACTAGAACGTACTAGTGATTGACTTAACTCAAGCTCTTTGGCTGTTTCGTACCTACTTGTAACACATTTTTATATAGAAATACAACTGACGATGGTCTGGAGTTTGTTTTTTTTTAAGGTAGATTTGGTGCAAGAGGCAAAAACTAATCATGAATCAGAAAAGATGGTATGTGCTTAGGGGTCTATAACAAAAAGTATGAGAAAAGAGTGAAGAATCTTGCTCCATGGTTTAAAGGTTACTGGTTTAACCAGCATCAGTTATAGACACTGCCAAAAACTAAAGTGGCTGCCTATTGACAAAAGGAGCAATCTTTTTCCTACCTTCTCCTCTTTTGCTAGTTCCTGCTTTCCTTTGGTATCTATAGTCTTTCCTCCAGGCCCTCGTATTGATGCCCTGCATGGCGGAGTGTCTGATCCATTAGAACTCACTCCTGGAGTAAGTTCAAACATCCACTGAGCTCGGAACATTTGGAGCTCTGCCTAAAAAAAAGAGAGGAAAGTTACAAGTCATAGATGGATTTTCCACTCTTGTTTATGGGTATTCCTCCCCTTGTTCACATGGAAAGTATTATGGTACAACAGACTGTAACCTGAGGAATTCGCCATTACTGAAATTCTTTCAAACACATGCTGAAGGTACACTTTAACCTTAACTCCAAAGATGTTTTTGGTCTAAAAATGTAGAAACATAACCCTTCAAAAACAAACAAACAAACAAACAATCAGAACACAATATGCTTTACTTACAGAATGGCTAAAATTGTAATACCAGCTTTATACCATGGAAGACAGTTACTCTTCACTTATCCACTATAGATCAGTATTAATTAATCAGTATTACTTATTAAAACAAGCTTGTCTGAAGAAACAATTTCCAGGGTGACCGCACAGGTAACGAACAGGTCTGGATTTGGCCCTATAATTAATCTTAACAATTTGGTGATTCTCAAGCATGAATAAGACCCAAAAAATGTTGGTGCATGTGGCCCTGAGGTGCTAACAGATATGAAATGTCAGTAAAGCAGAGATAACTAGATACGATTGAGGAGTACACTTGCTGATGTCATGGCGAAGCTGTACTTTTAGCAAAAATTGTAGTGTGAAACACACCTGAAGATTGGCTTCACCAGGCCTTTCATTGTCATCAGTTCTTACCAGATCAGAGTGACAATCTTCTTCAGCTTCTGCCTAGTAGAGAACAGTAAGACATGAATATACAGCCTGTATATGCATCTCTAACACTTCTACATAGCACCAGCTTCACAGAATCTCACTTAAAAAAATTAGATATATTTCCCTCCCCATCCACATGTTCCTGTTGATATGTACAAGTAATTCAACTGTGTCAGGTCTGTTATTAAACTGTTAATGAAAAGAATGCTTTTGTGTTTGACTTCAACTGGCCAGTGTCAGGACTACTTAGCTGCCATATAGTTATCATGAACAAGATATTTAACTCCACAAAAATCAGATTGCTTGTAAACTTCATACCTCATGAAAATTAGTCATAACTTTCTAGAGGAAACTGAATGCACATTTGGTTTGTCTTCACTCATTTAAAAAGTTCAATGCAGCAGTCCTGCTTATAAAGGTGCTTTACAACTAAGTTGCAAAGGAATACTTGGTGCATTTTACCATACATATAAATGTACCAAGTGTTCCTTTGCAACTTAGTTGTAAATCACCTTTATATATACGCAGCTAAAACAGTGCCTGAACAACTGGTTCAGCATCCAGTGGCAAAATGCTTAGCATCACCCTGAAATGTAAAAAGTGCCACCTAATTCTCTTCTACTTACTGTTTTCCTTTGCACTGCAAATTTAATACCCCACAAAGTGCATTGGTCTGCATTGTGAAAGTTTACATCCCAAACAGAGGAGCCAAAATCAAAAGCTTTCGTTGCTAATTTGAAATGTAAATCAACCATCTTTCATTGAGGCTAGCAATCTGGAATATCCCACTCTCCCCATTTTTAAAGAGTTTATCTGAAGAATCCCTCCAATTCTGGATGAAAATCCTAATCGGATTTCAAACATGATGCAAGTGAAATATTCCAATATAAAATTAATATTGGCATATTTGCTATAGCTTTAGTGTGTCACACTAATTGAGAAGCATTTTAAGACATTGCAGGCAAGCAGTGTTCACTAAAGGAATTCTGCTAACAATTAAGACCTGAATCTGTCTTGCATTTTCTGTAGCCACTAGGCATATCATAAATGGCTGCAGAGATGCAAGTGGTATTGTGATGTTACAACTATGAAATCAAACTGGAAGAGGGAAAGATGCACTCTAAAGTTACGAGCAGGGCTCCTGGTTTTCTCCGATTAAAAAAAACAAACAAACAAAAAATTCTGACAAAACCCCCAAAATCTGTTGTTAAAATTAAAAGCCCTCCCCCCGCCCCCGATGGTACCCCAAAGCACACCCCAGCCCTGCTGGTGTCCCTCAAGTGCCCCCACAACAGCCCCCCGCTCCCTATTTGTGCCTCTTGCCCCCCAGCCCTGCCAGAGGGGGCCCCCAGCTGCCAGGACTATGGGGCCAGGAAGCCAAGTCTGCAGCTCCCTGCCCCCAACAGCAGGCAGCTGCAGCAGAGCCAGCTCCTCCACTGATGCCACCTGCTTGGGCGGGGGTGGGGCCAGCTCCTGGCTCCTCCCAGCCCTGCTAGTGCCCCCTAGCTGTGACCTACAACCCCACTGCACCCTGCCAGAGGGGTCCCAGGCCCCCAACAAGCCACACACACAGGCTCCAGGAGCAAAGAGTGAGGCTAAGCCCAGGTGAGCCTTGGCTGACTGAGGGCCTCAGGCCCCACCCTTCCCCCTGCAGGCAGGGCCAGGTTTCCTGTCCTGTTGCAGGAGCTCAACCAGCCTGAAGAGCTCTTTGCAAATGTGGGGAATCCGTGGGTTTCTCTGCTAAAAGGAGAAATCCGCGTTTTCTCTGATAAAAAGGGGAAATCCATGGGTTTCTCTGTTCTTCCATGGGAAATGGAAAACCTGGTTCCCTGGTTATGAGTGACAGAAGGTAGTATTCTGATGGACAATATTGCTGATCAATATCAAAGCATGGCCCAAAATTCTGGTGATCACGGTTGAGATACCTTAAATAACAAGAAGACCACTACCAAAAAAACCATGACATGGGACTGTATTCTCTGCCTGCTTTATTTTGCGCACATAGTAGGAAACATAGCTATTTGTTCTGGCAATATCATGGCTTCTTAAAAGAAAAGTTCTTTAGCTTACTCTGTTCGGTCTCTCTCCAATGCAAGGGAGGAGAAATGGTCACATACTTGAAACTGAAAACTTAAAGAGCTATTACTAATGAAAACAAGAATCCCCACACTATATTACTGAATAAGGTTTACAAATATTTTTAAATCTTTACTAAGTTTCAGAAATTAACCATGTAACTTGTGTCCTTTAAAAAAACAAAAACTACACACAACTATTCAAGTAAAACAGAAATAGGTAAGTATATGTCAACCAAGAACAGGTTTTCTTTTGATTAGCACAGCATAGGAAGTGTGTACCAACATGAAGATCTCTGTAGCATTTCCAAAAGCCATGCTAACTATTAAGCTTAAGTGCAAGGGTCTTTAATAAACCAAAGAATACACAATGAATGAGACAGTGCAACCTCCACATCAAACAAACTGTTTTTACTAAAAGTGCTTGAGACTTAAGGACCTTTAAAAAAAAATTAAATCTAGCTATTGTTTTAAAAAACAAAACAAAACTGTAATTAATGCTTATAAACAGAGCACAAAAAACAGACTAATATCGGGGAGTCAATCATAAGATATATATTGCAAACAATGACTGAACAAAATGAAACTTTAGTTTTACTGACGGTTACAGCTATTGCAAATTAAGACCTTAAAGCCACAGTTTGAATGTTAGGTTTACATTAGGAGGGAAAATCTGGTTCAGTGAAAAGCATAATCCTGAAACCAGGAGGGAGGGGGGGGAGGGGGGCGGAAAACAACGACGATGACAACACACCACTACTAGAGCTCACCCACTCTAAAAAAAAAAAAAACAACAAAACAGTCTCAGCAAATATTTCAGAAGAGTACTAAAAATACAGTACAAAAAATAGACAACTACTTAAATCAGTTCTGTATTTCAATACATCAAAAATATGTTAACACTCACTTTTCCAAATGGCTGTTTTAATACACAAGATCAAAATTTAAATATTAAAATCAATGTCCAGTTGCTACTAGAATTGTAGCGTTAAAACATCAATGTTTAGCCAGATGGCCTGAGAAAGGAGATTTGGCCTTGACTAAAAGTTGGGTTCCATTCCAATTTAAGCTGAGTATACACTGACTCAACCCATATATCTAGCTCTGCAAAAACGCAGGAGGAAGCAAGTTAATGCTTTATCTTGATCTATCATCTAGTTTTTGGGAGATGTTGAATGTAGTATCTGAATGCAACTAATAACTGGCCACTCCAAAGTTTGGCTACAGCATGTGTGTCTAGTGTCCTAGATTACAATGGGTCTGCTGGGCTGGTTTGTCATCCATACAGGTTGCTCTTGTCTATATCTGAATGACTGTGTCCCAGGACTGCTGATATTTTTCAGAACTTGCACTGCAGTATGCACAGCTTCCACAGAGTAAATGACACTGAATCAATCCATTTTCAGTTTGCGATCTGACATTCAAATTGCATTTTTTTGAATCTCAATGTTCAATACATTTAAAAAAAGCTATCAGGAAGAAAATTATCTAGAAATAATCAATAATCTAAAACAGTTTTTCTAGCTTTCAGAGTCAGAAGCTTCACTTGGAAATTTGTGTTTTCCTTAAACTCTGCTTTATACATCTAATTAGACACTGTTATTTCTTGGTCAATGCAACTTGTGGACTGGACTTGGAATACCCCATGAATACAGTATCTAAGCACCTACGCAGCCTGTAAATACAGTGGGTATGCGCACTGATTTCCAGGAAAAGAGGCATTCTTGTTAAACCACTTAAACCTATTAAAAATTATACAACAGCAAAATATAACGGTGGTGAAGTTAAAAGAATTTTGCACTGAAAGCTTTCTGGAACAAAAATACCCAAATGTAAAATCTAAATCGAGTAATCCACTACTCAACTGTCCTTTCACACTACTTCACATTGTCAACTTTTGTCTTGGCTACCAAGTTTTTACACTGGTCACCGAACTCTCAGAATGTCAGTCAGTGTTGCCTGAGCCATTTTATAGGAAAAGACCTTGAACAGCTCACACTCAGTCCAAACACCTGAGACTAACCCATCTGAACTTCCAGGCCTGTGCAAAGCCCATCTGACTAGCCGCAAGTTTAAGAGGTCTTTTAGCTAAAATTCTGACCAGTCACTTGTGTCTGCACATAGTATGTGATCTAGTAAATGATCTCCAATTTGTGGTTCTCAACCATTTTGGTCTCAAAGTGCTCCTCAGAAAATGAGAGCTCTTAGCTTCCACTTTTTGACTGCAGAACAATTCTTCAGGTGCAAAGAACTCAGAAAGACCACAACAGGTGAATGCTTTTAAATTTATGATTTCATATTTAAAATCTCAGGGTTTATCTTGTGAATTGATTGAGAATCAGTTCAGTAATATGACGTTTCTTCTCCCACTTTGAAAAACTAAAACTGAAATATCAATGTAATGTGAAGCTCTGCAATGTTCTGGAGTTCACACAAGACTGTTTTCCCGATTATTTAACCTCGCCTCCTCTGCAGAGGTAAACATGAGCTTATCTCTTGTTAGCCTTTCCCTTACTAACTTCACTGCCAAATTATCCATTCTATTCCTGTCTCTATACTAGCAACATAATAAGGACGTTATCATGCTGCTTAAAGGCATTTTCACCCGGAACCACTTTAACACATACTGATCTATACAAATGTCTAATGAGTTTATCAGGTCCATATCAATAAAAACTAGCAAAAGAAACAACCAAGTGGGGAAACCTGGTAACCGTGAGCCAACTTGTTTCGGATTATGCCTTGTAAAAACATGTGGGTCAGGTTAACTCATGCATTTATTTACAAAGCTCTGTTTAAACTTGTCATATCCAAAGAGCTTGTTCATGTTCAGAGTTCAAGTTGATATTGTTTTGCAAGCTATAAGTCCAGGTTTTTTCCCTTAAACGGTACAGCAGCCTAGCAACTCCCAACTAGAGTTTAACAGTACTGAAGTAAAGACTGAGGTTACTGACATACAGGTTCCCCCATACAGTTAACACCAGGCTCAGCTGATCCAATGCAAAAGGTAGTCTTTGCATCACCCACAACCACTAGACCATTTGGGGATGAAAGCAAACTTTAGGTGAACTATTTGTCTTCAAGTCCAAAGGGGTTGTGTCTGTGACAAGGTCGCAGATTTAGAGGATCCCCATGGGCCTTTCCCTGGCTACTGCATGCTCCAATTAACACTTTTACCTGCTCTGTGCACCTAAGGAGCTTTTATGATCTGGGCCCAGTTAGACAGAGCCCCAAGAATATTACGACCATCCCACAGACAAGCAAAGATTTCTTAGGGTGATGGCCCATTAGTGCCGCGAGAGGTGAGGACATCCCAGGGCAACAGCTTTTACTGGACCAGAGACGTAGCTGGGGTCGAGCTAGACGAGCTTAAGCCGTTCTTTGATGGACCAGGCAGGGACCTCCCGTTTCGCGATCCCAAGCTCCTCTAACCCTCCCCCAGCCATGTCACTGGCTCAGTAAAAGCTGCCACCCTCGGAAACCCTCGCCTCTGGCACCAATTCTGGACCTCCTCCGTCACCCTGGCGCTGCCCTCTCCTTTACTTGCCGTCCAGCTGCTCCGCACGTGGGTCCCCTCTTTCCTTCAGGCTCGGCCCCGGCCCCGGCCGAGGGCGCCGCAACAGCCGGGGGGGACGGGACAGTTTAAGTAAGTGCCCGGATTGTTTACCGTTGTAACAGCCGGGGGGG